AAAAAAAAAAAAAAAAAAAAGAAAGCTCAGGTGGAAATAGGCTAATTAAGCAATATATGTGTGTGTGTGGGGGGCTGTTTCTGTTACAGGAAGGGAGAAAAGCAGAGAAAAGAGAAGCAAGCACTTAAGAAGACAGACTCAGCTTCCTCAACCATATTGCTAAAAACCTCCTCCACGTACCGGGAAAAAAAAAACACCCAGGCTCAGAGGGAGGAAGTATCAAGGCCTGGCCTCATCAGAACATGCCTTTCCACAACGTCCCACAGGTGAGTAAAGATGCAGGCCATACATGTGGAGGCAGAAGAAAACCTTTTCTGAAACTGAGATCAGTGAGGTCCATGTATTTCTCCATTAGTGTCAAAGCACTGCTAGACCCTCCTACTTACCCCTGATTAAAGAGCACCCCTATTTCCCAGTCCACCCACCTGCAGCCTCTAGGAAATCCCTTCTACCACCTGAAGTTTCTATTTCAATGTTCACTTGCTACAGAACATCAGTACTTTGCATTATTTTTCCCTCTTGATTAATGTTTTCTGTATAAACACAATGATAGGAAATATAGCAAGGTACTGGAGCCCACAGTGAAAGGAAATATATTTGAAAAGGTGAATAGATCATCTGTCTCTTACCTCCCTAACATAAACTGTTTTAAGCTCTCCCTGTAGTCCCTGATTCCATGCCTATCTGTTTACTTTGCAAGACCGAGGCCCACCCAAGAGCAAGAACCAGGGCCCCTTAAGCACTCTCCAGACACTTCTAAGCAGTACTTACTGTACTCAGAGAAATTGTCTTTGTCTTTTTTTTTTTTTTGACAGAGTTTTACTATGTCACCCTTGGTAGAGTACTGTGGCATAATAGCTCACAGCAACCTCAAACTCCTGAGCTTAAGCAATTCTCTTGCTTCAGCCTCCCAAGTAGCTGGGACTACAGGTGCACACCAAAACACCTGGATATTTTTTTGGTTGTAGTTGTCATTGTTGTTTGGCAGGCCCAGGCTGGAACCAAACCTGCCACCAGCTCCAGTGTATATGGCTGGTGCCCTACCCTCTGAGCTACAGGTGCCAAGCAGAGAGACTGTCTTAATGTAAATCTAAGTACCTCCTCCCAATCTTTCTTTTTTTTTTTT